TGTCCAAAAGGTGCTGGAGCCCTGTCTGAGGCTGTGTCCTCTTGTGTCATTGGGATAACAGCCACTGTGTGAATGTCCCCATTTTAAACGGTGTAAAGTGATTGTCTAAGACTGCTGAATCCTCCAGCCGCGGTGGAGCGAGAGTTGGGGTGAAGTAGCTGGTGCAGAAGGTGTTTTCCTCAGTCTGTGGTGTGGACCAACCGAACACATTGCCAAACTCTTTGCCACTGTGCGTTGCATTTTGAGCTGCTAAACTACTTGTGAAGCTATGATGAAAGCTGAATACCTGGTTAGTGACAAAGCATGAGTAACTGTACGCGGTAGTTGTCCCTGTCTCAGCTGGCTGTACTGACATTTGTTTCTGTTTGAATGTTCCACAGTGTAAGTGCTGTACAACTCATAGTTTAAAACTGTTTGCACTTTGTTAATAAAATGAATGTTGAACTCTGCTGTGAAGTTTTAGATGTCTGTGTGTAAATAAGAAGGGTAGAGCCTTGCTGTCGGGGTCAGCAGGACACGGCTGCCACGCTGGATGTACTCTTTAGTACCCAGTTGCTGTAGCGCCCAACTGCTCATAGGAGAACTTTTTCCTGCCATACACCTGTCACTTTTTCCTGAATTATTAAATGAAAAGTGCTTAAATCCAGTGGGATTTTTAAAGCTATGTTAGTAGAAGCCAGACCAAATGCTTAAATCTCATATATTCAACTAGGAATTGAGGAGGATCCTCAGTTTTTACCCAAACTTGGTTTTGTATTTCTCAGCTGGAGGAAGGAGGTGTTGCTCTGAGCTGCCTGGGTGCAGATGTTCCAGCTGCTGAGCACTGAAGGTGGCCTGTGATGAGCTGCACACTATGGTAGTGTGTTGTAAGTGTTTACTGTTGTACAGGGCTGCATGTTGATTATTATACACAGCTCAATTAGCAGTAATCACAGAGCTCTGCCTCTTCAACATGCGCAGCTGCTTTACTCTTAATAAGAGGCCCGAGCTGAAGGGAATTATTTTGATTAGCCGCATGCTCTGCGCTGGAGTTACTGCCCAACCTTTGCAGGGACAGGAGAGGAGCCGGTACCATCACGCGTTGCTCTCCGTATGATGAACTGACTTACATCCAGCTGGTTTTTGAACAAGAGGTGGGGAAACAGGCTTGGAAGACTTATTTTGCTAATTAGCTTACACTGTGCTGTAACAGCCCCTTCCCCTTCTGGCTGTAAAGCAGAGCGGGGCTGTGATGGGCCCGGCGTAACTGCACAGGTACCACCCCAGGCTGTGCTGAGCAGTCATTTTCGGGTACACATCACCCAAAGGAAACGTGCTTCCACCACAGTAAAGACACTTCGTTCAGATGTTGGTTGCCATCTTTGTTAGCTCTTAAATAAACAGATTATCTGAAGTGTGGTTTTAAGTACTGTTTTATTAAGATATTGGTAAAACTTCAACAGTTTTTCTGTATAAACAGCTTTCATAAATAAAATATGGATGACTAATACATGGTTGTAACTAAACTCATATGTGAACTGGAGAACAAGATTGCAAATGGAAAGTCCCACCACAGTTGAAGGGTTAGCTTAATTTATTCACTTCATAGAGAACATGTTAGTTTCATGAACAAGATAATACAGAACGGGCAACAGGAGCACCCAGTGCAGCGACTGACACCACACCCGGCACCTGCACAAGTACTCGTGCAGGAGGAGATCTCAGCCGGCTTCCCCTGTTCTTGTTCCAAGATGTCTTCTAGAGTGAAGGAGAGAAAAAACCTAACGCAACGCAGTCGCGACATACAATAGTTGTAGTAGACCCTAACAGGTGGGGGTTATTTTGCCTTTCGCTTTAATGCTGGCCAGTATAGTGCCATCGCCTGATCAGCGAGGGCTGGAAAAGGATATGAGTATCTAAGTCAGAGGTTGTGTTAATGCTTCGTTATTAGTTATTGCACGTGATACAAGGGTAGAAAGTTTGTTCCTGTTGCAAAGAGGTTATGAGTTAAAGAAAGATTGCCCTAAATTACAGGCATGACCAAAGCTGCAGTATCCCCTTCGATGGCTTTGTTTATGCGACTAGTGCCGAGTGGATAAATTGTGCTAAAACAGCCCCTAATTTAGACCAATCTTTCTCATTTTTTGTCCCGCAGAACATTGCCAGGGTCGGGAGGATTTAGCGAGGAGATAGTGGACCTGAACTACAGCAGCCATGTCTATAAACACAGAACTCGTTATGCCTCATCGTATCTGCCCATAGGACAACGCGTTTCTCACTGACACACAGTGTTCCAAAAACAGAGCGGAGTTTCTATGACAGTGTACCACTATAAATGTGGCATAAGTTAAAGTCTGCTTTGACATTGTCCTTCAGCGTTACAATGCAATCGAAATCAAATACTGAATGGTTTTAACTTGCAAGGACAATTGATGGCACTTCTAGGTAAAGAAAAGTTATATACATGCGTTTCCACCCACCTTTAGTGCAAATCGAAATGGGTTAACAGCTCCCTGGTCTGGTGCTATACTGCTCTCTGCGACGCAGACAGTCCTCAGAGTTGCGCATTTAAGAAGTGTACACAGGAAACTACCAGAGTGGGGATTGAGTGAATCCCGCTGGTACTCACAGTGAAGAGCTTACGAGCGAGTTTTGAGCAGCTTCAGACGAACCGCCTGCAGCCCCTTTCTCAAAACCAACACAATTTCAAAAAATAAAATAAAATAAAATAATGTTTTCACTACCTACCTCCTAGTTCTGCAAACACGCTTAACACGTGAACTGAAACTGATGCGGGTTGTGTTAACGCGGAAAAGGGATACTTCAGCTCTTTATTGGAAAGAATCGTTATACAAATTTCACCACCACTAAGATACACAATAAAAATACAAAACACAGGTCACAGACTGAATCTCAGTATCAACAGTTAATAAATACAATTAGATACTTTTATATTAGCCTAATATTTTTACATTGTCACCAGATAGACAATCAAAGTACGAGATACAGAACACTTAGATACCATCAGAGAGGGATTATTGCTTACGTTAGCAAGCAGCAAATAAGGGCACAGGATTTCGAACTGAAGAGAACTACTTCCTATCACCAGTGGCATTAAGAGAAAACACTGCATTTCACAAAGCACTGCTTTTTTGTCTAGTGTGTAGAATCAAGAGCAGCATATATCAGACCAATAACCACTACTTTTAATAGTATAGAACTTTAAAGGACTTACCTTACAAATGGTTCCTATCTACTCTATAAATATGCATTTAGTGAAGAAATGAACACTTGCTATATCTATACAATGTTTTTACCTGACCACACTGGAACTACGATGGCAGATTTTTTTCTCCTAGCGAGATACACGGTATGAGTCGCAGAGTTATCGTTTATGAATCCACACCTAAAAAGCTAGATCCTTCCCAAAACAGCACACATGCAGTCCAGTGCTCTTCAACTGCTCCTGCAGGCTGGGAAGAAGTTTATCGTCCATAACGGCTTTTCATTCTAATTTACTCACACAAAGAATTGCACTTACACCACCTCTCTCTCCAAAGCACGGCAGTCAGCTATAAGATGGACTTTCGATGCGTCATTATTACTGTGAATAATTTAAAACAAAGGCACCGCAGAGATGCCCCCGAGTTGCATATTTTACCATTTCATGGTTTCTCAAATTTCCTCAGTTAATCTGACTTGGAACATATGCTGCAGCTGAAGAGAAGGTTGACAACAGCTAAGGCTTAATAAGATGACAGATAAGAGCCAATGATCCCGTAAGATTAAAAAAAAGTCTGAAAAAGATCAAAGGAATCTAAAGCCACACTCCAGCTCCTGGTTACTCACGAAGCCTTTTGCTGTTCATCAGATTGCTTTTAAAGTAGTGCATCAAAGACAGAAGAAGCGGAAATTGGCAGAATTCAAACCTTGCCATCTCGTCGTGTTGAATAATCTCCTGGCTACTTAATATTAAAATACTTTGCAAATTCTAGCTAAATACTAATACTGTTATTGTTACCACTAAAATGATATGAATTGTACAATAAGCGTCTATGAAGACTTACTTTATTCATACTCTTACCAATGTCTTATTGTAACAAATAATAGTAACAGGATGCGTATTTAGTGGAGCTGACGGGAATCGTCTGCTTACTTACGTCCCAATTAACCGCTCCCCTGAGGGTTTAACATCGCCCCGGGAGTAGGGAGGAGCTGGTGGGAACTGTTTGCTTCCCAGTTTGAGCAATAACGCTCCGCTTATGAAAATAAGGGCAAGTGATGTTCCTCACTTCCCTTTCTGAACCCAGGTTTAACCGAAGCAGAGCTCTGGCTCGTTAGTGAATTCTACCCTCTCCGCTAAACCCCGCGCGCAGCCCCTGCCCATCCTCATCCACGGCATTTCCGTTGGCTTTGGATTGCTCCGGCAGCCCGGCATCCACTCCTACGCACGCTGGAAAACACCAAATTGCAGCGATAGCGCTCCTTGTAGACACAGCATCCTACTACCATCCTCCATGCTGCAACTTTATATTAAATTATGCCTTTGCCATCTAGAAATCATTACCGAAACCAAACAGCTCATCAAATTGCTCATTATCTCTCGCAAGCAGTTCTCCGGTTTGACTGGTTGAGTGACAGCGGTATTGTACTGAACATCTCCACAGATTGGTTTCTTTTAAGACCTGAGATGAAGTTATGGTGGAAAGAGGTTGGCTCAAAGCGTTAAGCACAATCATGTTCGATTAAAACTAATTGAGAACAGTTTCCTAAACTGACAAACGAGAGAAATGCCACTAAAAGCACCAGAAAGATACGAAATTCCCTACCCTGCACCTCTAGCCATAGGAAATCATTTTTTAAAAACTACAAAAAACAGTTTTCTTCATATTCCACATTTTATGTTACATGAAAAAAAATAGGTAAATTATGGGTCTGTACCTCAATCAGAGTCTGAGAACAGAGCAGCAGGAGCTCAGTTTGTCCATTCCTAAGTTACCTGGTAAAACCCTGTATGGCTTTTAGTCGTCTACCTGCAAAAGTGGATGTAATTTTCTGATTCATCTTAATGCTCGCCTGAAATAAACAGAAAGCAGAACACAAAAAAAAAAAAAAAAAAAAAAAGAAAAACCCACACACCTCGACTTCTACAGAAACTTCCCCCCCGCTAAAAAAATTTGGCGGTTCTAAACCAGAATCTTTCTGTACATATTGCTCCGCAGACGTACCTCAGGCAGGTTCAGCTTTCTGTGTTGCTACAGACTGTTCCCTAACCGCGTCTGTTCACGTGAACCGGCTGTTTGGCTTTCACTAGTGAATGTGGCTAGATACTCGCGTGTGCGGGTGGCTGTGGCATTGCTCGGGGTGGCACCACCAGCAAACTTTACTGAGATTGAAACAACTACATTTGTTAATTCCTAGATCTATTTACACATGGTTTGAGCTTTGCAGGGGACTGGAGTACAGTTCTGAAATGCCCACCTTTTTTCGCTTTCTGATGATGCCAGTTTTATTTTGGGAATGTCTATTTTGGGACTCTGACGGGGGAACACGAGGGAGATAATGGTTACATTTTACAGCATTGATGAAGATATGAATCTGGTATACAATTACTTTGTCTTCGCATCAAAAACATGCTCTCGCCGTAAGCGCTATGACTAGCCAGCCTCCACCACGGGGAGTGTCTTACCGACAACCTCGTGCTACCGCGGCCCCGGACAGGTAAGGACAGACTCGACCCTTCTATATGGGAAGGCTCATGAGCCACGAGCGGTGTGTGAAACTTTGGTTTGAGCCTGGCTCCTCGTCGCCTCTTGCCGTTACAGAGCCGAAAGTGAAAGAACGCAGCTCGTTTTCCCAGGGATTTGAACAGTTCATCTTCCAGCCCAAAGAAGATGGGGGATAAACCCTTCACCCTGTAGATGCTCTGCCCTGCAGCACCCAAACTAAGAGGAGCGTCGTACTCCCTGGGATCGCTCTGTCCACAGGTCGACGACATGGTGCGCTCTGGTGATTCATTCTTCACTGTTAAGCCGTTGATCAAATTCGCACTCTTTGGTATGCCGGGACTAAATGCTTGAATTGGTGGCGGACATTTGGCACTCTGAGGTGTACTAGTTTCTGTTTTTGTCAGGTCTAAATAGCCTTGATCATCAAAGAGGTTAACGCCGGACCCTATGCTTAAGCTAGTTCTGTCGGTGAAGGAATCCACTCGTCCATCATAGCCTAGGTCTGCAGGTGCTGAGCACTGGTGCTGGGGCCACGGTCGTTTGCAGTCTCCGTGGTTTTCCTTGTCTTCCCCATTGTCTTCTTGCCCACCTTGGAAAGAGTTCTCCGTCCAGTCCGACTCCTCACTAACAGCAACTGCTGCGTTCATGTCCCTGAGAAATACCACAATGACAGTAATGTTGTCGCTGGAACCGGCATCCCGAGCAGATGCCACTAATTTATGTGCTACCATGCTGCTGTCGCCGTTATTCTCCTTTAGATGGTCAGCCACCACTTTGACTGCCTCATCGGGATTGACTGTGTCATAGAAGCCATCGCAGGCTAAAATGAGGTAGTCTTCAGAGCCATCTAGTACAGTGGAGGCAGAGTCTGCGTCCCCACAGATATATGGCTTGTGCTCAGCGTCCCCTGTGGAAAAACAACACACAACATACACAAGACCGTGGGTTTGCAGCCATAGCATCTGGAAGCCCTTTTATTAACACAGCGTGGAGCCAATGACTCTTATCCCAACTTAAAGAAATTATTTGGAAATTATTCCCTCAAACTGTAGAGACAAAAATAGAGGTCATCGCTCGCAGTTCTGTCTTCAGCCATATTTCAAATTTTGATGACTAGAAAATTAAAGTTTTAATTAAAAAGAAAAACAAGTCTGAAAAAGGAATTCAAGCGTATTCTTACCAATAGCTCTGGAGACTGACAGGCTCCCATTCACCCTCCAAGCTCCAAACCAGACCACGCAGCCACCGAGTGCCTCAATGCGCTTCTTCTCATCCTAAACAGCAAGGCAACACAAGCGTTGTTTGGACAGAGCGCTTAGTACTGCCACCACGCTCCGAACACTTCAGCGAACCTGTGGCGTTTCACAAACACAGCACGGTGGAGGCTGCGGGCCCCACCAGATGAGAACAAAGGATGTGCACACAAATCCATACCAATTTCCAAAGAAAGCAGGACAACCGGAACGTACACTGCCGCTCCAAGAGACGTTGGCAAGGCAACACCCAGCGTCCCAGCACCCCACATAAAGGTGATACCTGTCAGCTTCAGTGGTAAACGCTGCCCCGGTGTATTTAAAATGGGCCATTCTCACCTCTCGATCTGGTTTGTGGGGTTTCATCAGCTCCACAGCTTGGCCTTTCCTCACGAGCATAACCTGGGAGTCCCCAAGCCAAGCCACATGCAGCATATTTCCTCGGATGAACGTCACCACCCCAGTGGTTCCACAACGCAGACTCTGGATAGGGTGGAAAAAAAAACGCCCCCAGTTTTAGATAAGCCAATAAGAACGATTTCAAAGCGTTTTCTTGCTTTAACTCGAGGACAGAACATGCTGCTATTCTAATGCGCAGCCTGTTCCGGGAAGAACACGCAGTGCTTTCACTTACTGCTACAACTGCTCAGTAACAGCCCCTCAGAGCCAGCCCGGCCGAATGCAAGTGATGGATTTTGCCCTGTGACTCTCCCTTGCCTTGGAATCGCGTTTCAGAAGCTGGGCGCTGCCAGCGATCTGCTGTGATACTGGTTTAGTTGACTTGCCGTGCCACTTTCCTATCTGTTGATAGGAACGCATGCATGTTAATGAACTTGGAGGAGGTTTATTTGTAAGCATGTTGAGTTCCCTGCACTTCACTCAGCCCTCGCATGAGTTTAGGAGGGCTAGGAGTCAGTTTTATTCGTGCTTTCTGGAGCTAAGAAAAATGCATGTAGTAGAGATGAGTTAAAAAAAGCACCCCAAGGACTAAACCTAGTTAGCATGCGAACATAAGAACAGCAGCAGCATCCTTCTAAATGAACTGGATGTTGTGAGAAGTGGAGGCTGACATCTTTATGGAACACAAAGAAGCCTCCCCGTGGGCACCGGCTCCGTGGACTGTGCACGGCCAGCTCTGTGCTGACCCCTGGCCTGTGCTCAGCACAGCACTTGGAGCATCACTGCTACCAACGACAGAATGTATAGATTAATACTTTCGGAGTCAAGCCCAGGTAAGTCAATCACCTCTCTGGCTGCCTTCTGGACAAAGCGCTCATCGGTCACCCGGAAAGCTCGGCACAGTGCCTCTGCCGGGTCATGCTGAAACATCTCCTGATGGACCATGTTGACATGGAGATGGATGGAGGCATAGATGGCAGCATCCACTCCCCCATGACCATCAAACACTGCAAAATAAGCTTGCTCTTCTTGGTCCTGTCAATGGAAACACATTGAGAAAACAACTTAGGAGAAAGCGATGCAAACAGCTAATTGGGTTGTCGTAAAACTTTTGAACTTGAGATTTGTGGTGTCCTCATTAAATTGCACTTGAAGGCAGAGTCTGCACTAGAAAAACAAACTACTCAGACCATCTTCACTTGCATCTGCGGGAAATTTCCACCTTATTGCTGATGAATTTTACCTGCAAACTGCAAGAGATGCCCTGCAAGAATCACCCGTGTAGCGCTCTCAGTGCTCCTTATGTTCCATTTGTTACAATTCAGTCACTCAACTCAAATAGAAAGTGCCATTCTCATCAAATTGTGCAGGAGTTTTTGTGACTGCAAAAACCGCAGAGGGAGAAGAACATCCAATACAGTTTGCATGAAGTCTACATCAAGACTGGAATCCACCAGGGATAAAATGCCAGTACAGTTAAAACGTGAAGCCAGCCAGCCTCTGCTTTCATTCTTCTTTTTTTTTTTGTTGGTTTTTTTTTTTTAAGTCTAATCCATATCACCTTAGATGCCTGGTTTTTAAAAAAATGTTATGTACTCTCTCATCAGATAATTGTGATTACATTCACAAATCAAATACAGGAAAATCACTCATCACGTCAGTTTTTGCAGCTTCCCCCTATCTGTTCAAACAGAGAAACAATGCCGTACCAAGAGACATCAACTCCTGTGCCTATTCATACATAGAACACACCAACCCACTGTCAGTGCCAATTCAACCTTGACAGCCATCTCAATGACTAGAATATTTGCACATTGTAATTTTTAAGTAATGGGCTCCAACACAAATTGGAATACGAAAGCTGACAACTGACAGGCAAAGGAAACATCTGCCTCTGTTTGCATTAATATCATTTAAAGGCAAGAATGTGGATTGGGCAGAAGACAGTTATTAAAGTGACAAGATATGATAAAGAATCAATTATGCAGCAATCTGATCCTAAAGGTAACATTCTTGCCACTTTCTTCTATTTGCCATTCTTCAGTGTCCAGTTTTATATCCGAAGGAAGAGCGAGCACGAGTGTTTGACCGATGGCCACATAAAGAAATCAATGGAGGGAAGTCTGGCCCCAGTTCCACCAAACTACTCATGGTGCTCCATTCTTGTGCGAACTGCACCCCACTCTCCTATAAGTTTTGCGATTACTTTATTTATTTAGTTGCTTGCTTTCCTTATCGTTGCTTTTGGCTTCTTCCTCCCAAGAGAAAGGGCTGACAAGCAGTACAGACTCACCCCTGAAGACAACTGGCCTCAGCGATGAACTGTAAGCTGAACCACTTCCTCACCTCCATTGGCAATCCTCTTCTACACCCGGGCATCTTCAGCCAAAGAGAAGCTCCTACCTTGGTTTATCACATGGTACCACAAGGCATCAGCTACCACTCACAAAAGCAGGGCTGCTTTCTGCACGATGGCAGGTCAGTCCTTCAGCCACTGCACGAGTGGCTACATCAGGACGGGCCAGATACAAAATTTGTTCAGTTAGATGACGTTTCACCAGAAGACTGAAAATTGTTCTTTTATTCCTCATACCCTATGGAGAAACTGCATGTCAGTCTGCTGCTATGGTTACAGAATATCAACTGAACTAACCTAAGACCAGGTTTGTGTCTTGACTGCCAGTCCTCCTCAGGTCCCTCACAGGTATGACTTTCATTTGCACAGTAGAACACTGCCTCCTTTCCCCAAGAATGGAAACTGTATTTAGCGTACATGTGTGTCTTCCACATGATCTCTTTTTACCTCAAGGTTGAAGAGCATGTTGAAGTCTGGGATGCAGACATGCTTGTCTTCCATCTTCCTGCGCATGTTCTTGATGGCATGGATGGATGTCTCGTAGTAGCGGTGGGGTTTCGGCTGGAGTGGAAAGTCTTTCACCCAGTTGCTGCAGATCTCATGCAGTTTGCTAAAAACTAAACGGGCTAACTTCACCGTTTCAATCTCTGGGGAAGGCAAAAACCACAAATGAAAGGCTGAGAGTATTATTAAGTGAGAATTTTTTTCTTGCATACATTACAAAGATGAAACAAAACCATTTTAGCCAAGGAGTTGAAATGGATGTCAGCAGGGAAATTCTGGGCTCTGATGCATAAAAAGAGGAAGCCAAAGTCACCATAATCAGCATTCATCAGTAAGCAGCTCATTGTTTGTTTGTCTTTTTAACTTCAACATTCCCCCGTGCCTTTGGGGAACTCATTTGCAGCATCAGGAAAAATGAAAAGCAAGTATGTGTCCCACAGCATTTGATCCCCCGTGTCACTCTGCAGCGGGTGGTCCAGCTGTGCCACAGCGGCTCTGACAGGGACTTCATCATGGCATAAAGCATCACATACGAAAACTGCAATCCGTTGCAATGACATACTGGTTTTAGACCAAACAATCTATTCCAAACACCACTTCACTGCAGAACTGAGGCAATACAGTGGCAAATAATCTACAGAAATTATTATCATTACTTCAAGATGTTTTGGCAGAGTACACATTTAGCAGTGTACACATACAGGTACCTTCTTAGTTTCATAACATTATTTCCAGATTCCTGACTAGACTGCGTCAAAGATATCTGCATGAGCAAATGAGAAAACTATAAAGGTTTTAAATTTAAGAAAATGCTGAACTGTCACTCCTGAGAAATAGCAATTTTAAAATGTGAAAACTCAGGCACTTGACAGTTGTTCTGAAGTTCAGGGCAGGAAAACAGGATGGAAGAATCAAGAGCCGAACACAAAATCTCCTTTTTCATGATCATTCACCCAAGCCAGAGATCTTCAAAGCTAAACATCAGCAATCCACGAGTGTCAATCGTTCCTGGGGGAGGAATGGCCCAAATACAGGGAGCAGTGGGGAGGCTTACAGCATCTCGCGGTTCACAGAAATTCTGTGAAAAGCCTAAAAGTGGCATTTACTAGCTTCTGTACTAGGCCTACACAAGGTGTGGGCTATAGTGATCAGGGGGCCAAGAGCCTTAGGAGCAAGATACATTTGGACCTGTTGGAGCGAGCCCAGAGGAGGCCACGAAGATGCTGGGAGGGCTGGAGCCCCTCTGCTGGGAGGACAGGCTGGGAGAGTTGGGGGGGTTCAGCCTGGAGAAGAGAAGGCTCCGGGGAGACCTTAGAGCCCCTTCTGGTCCCTAAAGGGGCTACAGGAGAGCTGGGGAGGGACTCTTGATCAGGGACTGTAGTGATAGGGATGACAGGGCAAGGGGTGATGATTTTAAACTGAAACAAGGTAGATTTAGACTAGATATAAGGAAGAAATTTTTTACAATGAGGCTGGTGAGCCCCTGGCCCAGGTTGCGCAGAGAAGCTGTGGCTGCCCCATCCCTGGAGGTGTTCAAGGCCAGGTTGGACGGGGCTTGGAGCAACCTGGGCTGGTGGGAGGTGTCCCTGCCCAGGGCAGGGGGGTGGAACGAGATGGTCTTTCAGGTCACTTCCAACCCAAACCATTCTGTGTTTCCACGATTGCCAGCTCTGCTGATTATGAGTTGGTTCAAACTTGATCTGCAAGAGCAGCCATTAAGCTGGAAATAACCTGTAATCAAAAGAAGGAGCCCTAGCTTCTTGATCACATAGCTTTAAAAACAAGCGGTGGAAATCAAATGATTGTGTCATCCCACCACTGCCATAGCAATGGGTACCGATTCCCCCACAACACCCATACTGCTCTCACTGGTGCCACCAGTAATCTATTTGCTGGGTAATATATTTAACGAGGGAACACGGACAGCCTGACACGTTCAAATTACACTTTACAGAAGTGAACCCTACAGACTTGCTCTTCCATTTTTTTTTCCGGTGAGCACGTATGAAGGGACACGGTGTACATTTCAATGTCACGTGGCTGTTACACTTCAGAGCGTCACTCAGAAGGAGGGAGGGAGCGAACCCATTGGCTGCGCTGAGACATTAAATACCCTTCCCCAGCAGGGAGTGTGCGTACTGTCAGCATCATCAATAATTGCTCTTGAGGTTAAAACAGGCGAAAGGCCCACAACAGTGAAACCACCCCCTCACAGCTGTAAATTACTCATCAATTGTTAATGCTGCAGCGCTGAGCCAGAGCTGACTCAGCTGTCATTGTGGCTGTGTCATGGAGAATTTAATTTCCCTCCTGCTGCTCCAAAATCCCCAGCGTTGGAAGTAGAGCTTAATTGTACCGCAGCTAGTGGGAAATCCAGCTCAGGCATTATTGCTCCCAAAGACGACGGATTTCTTTTAGGGCAAAATCAGGGTAGAAAGAATACCAGTAACCAGATTTTGCTTTTTAGTACCTAAATTTTAACACCTTTCTTGAAAATGTGGACAGTGTGACAACAGGGATCAGTACCCGGGTCAGTAGACATGTCATTAAGCCAATGACCAAGGTTTTCCTTAATCTAAGAACTCCAGTTTCTGACTGGTCAATGACTTCTTTGTGTCTTGGTTATAGTAATCTTCTCTCCTGGTACCTGGAAAGATTGGGCAATGGGACTTTGCAATTTGCTTTGTGAAGTCTGCTGGATATTTTAGATACCTCCACCACGTAACGCAGTCCTACTATCCAGGCTCCTTTGGTGGCTCGTTAACAATGCTGAACCCGCACATGACTATCTTCCTCCATGAAAAAGATAACTAAATGTTCTTAACCTGACCTTTCACAAAGGAAATCAAAAGTCTTTCAGTTCTCATGGAAGCTCTCTCGCTCCTCTCCAGTTTAACAGGAAGAGAAGAATCAGTCACAGCCTATGACTCTCAGATTCTATTCTTGATATCCAATGACACATGGTCACCCTTGAAATATCAGGCCTATATTCTTGCATGCCTACATTCGTGGTCTCAAAACAGTTTTTCTTCTTTTAAGGTTAGCATTCTTTTCTCATGAAGCTTCTAATTTCCTTTCCACCAGCACACCAATAACTGCTTTTACCAGTCCTAAGCATGCAATATGATATGTCACGTTGCACTACTCAGACTGAAATGTGCCACTAAGGAAATTTGGAATAATTTTTTTTTCTTCTAGCAAATTCAAACTTGAGGCAAATCAGGTAAATGTCTCCTTGTATTATACAGAGTAAAAATCTTTCTGGATTCATAAGAAAAGCTGACACAGAACTGGATACCAAAACCAGCCAGCTAAATTCAGCTTGGTTTCGCATTTTGCAGCAGTCCAAACGTCATTAGCATAAACAGTGAACTCTGAGCACAAAACTTCAAGATGTAGAAATCCCATTTTCATCTCCTGCTACAGTTCCCTTTCTTTTCTTTCAAAGCATGAAAGTCTCCCTCAATGGTACCAGCTAGGGCACTCATCAGTCACAGTAACTAGCCCGGGTTTCTCAAAGGACTCCTACCAAGAAAGTTAGCTAGAACGGAGTTACTGACCTTTGGCAATGAAATTTCCTTCACTCCCGCATGACTCCCCCTAGTTTTTTAACGGTTTTCTTAGCCAAACCTTGCATCACTTGAGCTAATGCTCCATTTCAAAAACTATCCTTTATGGTATATTATTTGAAATTGCAGTATTCATATGAAACCATTGCTTTATTACAGTCCAGAAGATCTTCTCTCTCTCTTCCTCCCTCTCTTTATCTTCATCTTTTAACACTTTCATTGCATCTGTAAAGGTGTATTTTATTTTCAAATACTTTTGTTATGACAGTTCACCTCAACATACTGCAGCTGGAGTCATATTTTTAGCGCCTGCTATAGCCCATACATATATCAATCTGTGTTTGCATCGGTGTACTACAGATTTAGATATATTTAAATGGCAATTTCTGTAGGTGTGAAGGTTTTGTGGTTTTCTCTTTTCTTTTTCTTTTTTTGTTGAACTCTTTAGATATTCTGTGTGGAGGCTTAGTCAACATTTCCTTGGAGACTGTCAAATATTTATGCAAGTCTCAGAGATCTCAATTTGAAATTAATGAAGGCTGCTCAGCCAGAACAATGACAAATCTATTCCATTTACCTGCTCAGCAGGAGGAGGCAGCAATACCTACAAAAAGGGAACCCACAGCATGTTTTTCTTTTTCTCAGGTTTCCAAAGACCTCTGAGAAATATACCAGAATTTTCCTTTTTGAAGAGACGGATGTATATCTCCTACTTATCCCCTAAATAATTTACTTATATTTTTTGTCAAAAAAGGAGGGAATGGACAAAGTGGTTTAGTGACTGTATTTTCAAGATCAAATGACAGAATTCCTCTCAATACATGTGAGAAACATTGTTCTTCATTGTAATGAGTGGCCCGGTAAGTTTTTTGAGGCTATTTAGTTCAGCAGAATCCCGAAACTATATAGGGTACACGGCTTTGAGCTGGATGCTGAAGAATCTTGTCAGCCAACCCAGACAAATGGAGAAAAAGAAATTTTCCTTTTAAGCACACAATACCTTTATACTAACCTTTGCTAAACCAAAAAAAAAAAAAAATTAAAAGCCATGGTAAAAACTATACTGACTGAAATAATTCAGGATTAAAGTCTCTCTTCCCACATATATTAGACTTTGCTCTAATGATGGAGGACAACTGGCACGTGCCAGCAAGCAGCAGGACCACATAAGTCTAAACTGCATGTAAAGAAATTCAGGGCCACCGGACACAGTCTTATGAAGGAGCACTTAAAAGAAAAAAAGAGTAATTTCACCTGGTCTTAGGAGAAAAATTTGATAAAAGACTCAAGTACAACCAGAGAAAGTCTGACTAAGAAATTAGCCACTAGCTCTATCAGGAGTGGTGGTGAATTTTCCATGAATCTTTTTACATCAGTATGGAACATTCCTCATTTAGCTAGCTGGTTGAAAGAACTAACTTGAGGAAAATCTAATACCATTCAAGTGGTGAGACTAGATGGATCACTGAAGTCAATACTGACTTAAAAAAAAAAATAATCCACGAATTATCTGCAAAGTGTTCCAGTATTCAGTGTAAATGAAAGATCCACACCATGTAAAACCGTACATTATCATGCACAGATATACTTACGTATGATCCCATCTGCGTTGTCCACATGCTTTGGTAAGTAGTGTGCCGAAAGATCACTCTGAAGGACTTCATCTGAAGTTGCTCTAGCTAAAGCAGCAGCCAAAAATGAAGGGCAATTACTGGAGGAAAAAAAAAAAAAAGATATTTTCATCTGATTTAGCAAGGTAACTTGCAGTCAGGGAAATACATAACAATACTTTTCTATAAACAAACAGGAATTTGAACCAAGACTTGTAAAACTTCCGATTCTACTTTGCTAGACAGCACCACAACCCTGCAGCAAGAGCTCAAACTCACCACAGGGATTTTAGTAACCCTGTTTCACTCTTATGTTCCCTGTTTATTAAGTTTTAATGTTCCATTTCGTAAACCCTATTTAAATGCTTTTCAAATCTAGACTTGAGCCCCTCTGCAGCATCTGTCATGCAATCCTTGCTTAGTGCACATTTTCTACATGCGCATTATACACTTTCATCTTAAGCTCACTGTGTCCAGTTTCTTCTAAGAACTGGAGTCAGGTTTCCAAAGGATAAGAGAAGTTCTCAGTTTTCAAAGTGTCCAAAACCTCACCAAGGGACACCAAAAGTTAAGGCAAACCCATAGGAGGTATGAAGTTGACGTGCATAAGGTTAAAAAGCTCCCTTGTGAATGATCTCCATCATGAGTAAAGTGGCTTTAACTCACTGTAGCTTAATTAAGCCTGGTATCTCCCAAGGTTAATTAATCTATAGCAAACCAAGGCCACTTTAATGTACATTCTCTCATTCAAGAGGAGTTTAATACCTCTTAATTTATGCATATGTATTTCCCGTTGGTTTGCCTTAACATCTCTGTGTGCCTCTTGCTGACACAGCCTGAAACTTCCAGCTTCCATAGTTATCATCGGGGTAACAATGTCCTGCATAAGACATGTCCACCATTGCAGGACCACACAGAGACATATGAGCTAATTTCAGTCTCAGAAACCATCCACCAACTGCACCAACAGAATTCTGCACCAGCTGGGCCAGGGAACAGGTAACGAACACATATACTTCCTTAACCTATTTCCTCTGCTTACGCCCAGTAAGTCTGTTCACATGCTTTTAGCACAGTTGGAGAGGGGGTGTTAGCCCAGAAGCATCAGTCCAACCACATCCAGAGCAGAAAAACCTTCTACACACCAAACCGGACTTGTCAGACTTCGTTCTGGAGCCTGAGAAGCACATGGCAACCGTCGCTTGCGTTCACATTTGGTTCACTGCCCAGGAAAGCCAACTGCCATCCGAAACTGGCCCACATGCCATTGCTTCAGCAGTGAAATATGAATTCCAGAAAAAAAAATAAATCAGATTCACCACACTCGAAAAAAAAACACTTTGAAAAGCCATTTTATGATAGTTTTCCAGATTCTTGATACCAAATGCTGCTATGAACAGTAAGGTTATGTAACAGATTTAGAAAATGTACACAAAATAAGTCCTCCAACCCTCATTATTTGCTATTCAACATATCTATAAATAATTTAAATATAAGATTAGCAATAAATAGCTTTGTCCCAGTGATAAATTGCCATGAGACAAGCTCTGAGCCTTGAAGTTACGCAGAAAGCCACTCGAACGGCGTTACTGCACCATCCGTAAGAGTATTTCCTAGAATTAGCAGCCGAGTATTCTGCTCACGCAGCACCTCCAAGCCTCAGCGACGTGCACGCTAATGAAGCACGACTGCTGGAGGAAATCAGCTGTCTCAGGACTGGCTCTTCCCCGCACAACACAGGAACTCTGATCCTATTTACATACAGCACTGCCCAGCGGTAAGAGTAATCAGCAAGAGGAAAACACACCGGGACTTCCTTTACTTCTGGTGCGTGTAGAAGATGATTTTCTGTCTAGTCTTGTCTGCCTTTATTTAGCTCACAAAGAACAGGTTTTTCATTTCTATTATTAGCTCCAATACTCCAGAGCGGGGATACTGGTTACTGTTCATGTTACACGCGATTTCCATGTTACAACAAAAGCCAGAGATTGCGATGCCGGGGATAGAATGATTGTGCCAGCAGTTCACAGCACCGTGAGAACAGTGTTCTGAAAAAACGCAGAGAAAGGTTAAGGTTCAGCCTAAATAACGCACAGCAGAAGAATCCACGCTGAAAGCATTCACACCACCAGCCAGAGCTCGCTTCAGGCACGAATATCACAGGCTGCGCTAGCACCTGGAGCAATCTCAGCTCCTTTCCCAGTCCAAGGCTTACCCTCACCAGCTCAGCGCCGAAACTCTGCAGGCAAACCCAGGTTGGTTTGTGTCACTTATAAGCAGCCCCTCAAGGATGTCCACCGATGGGCAAAGAGGGAACCTGGTTAAGAACTGAGGCGGCAATGGTTGCTAAAATAGAGAGTCAAGACCTAAACAGCAAAGAAAAATACCCCCCGACACGCAGAACCTCTGCTCTGCGTGGGCTGGGGAGGCGGGAAGGCCACGTCTGTGGAGACCCAGAGCCATGAGCATTCATATCTGAAATTTTAGGTATTATTTTAACCGTAGTGACAGATTACAGAATTGAAAGGTGCATTTACAGCGTATGTAGCTAGTCAGAGTATTTCCCCCATCAGCTCCAAATGCTATTTACATGTCCCTACAGCCAATGCTGGCAGTTTCGAACAGCAGCTCTTTATCTAGCCAAAGAGTGCATTTCCATTACAATACTAAACCTACACAAAAAGCCGCTAAAGATGTTATTAGATAAATTAGAGGATTTTAAGTACATCCTTCCTGATTCTCTGGCAGCGTGGGTGTGTTTAGAACACCCACAGTTGCATTGCAGCAATCCTGGAATAACTCTGCTAAGGTAATAAATCAAGCCTAAAAGTGGGCCGTTTCCATCAATTAAGTTTGAGAAAAACAGTCTGAAGTGGGCTTAACTCAGCCCACATATTATTATGTTACCAGCTTAACACACAACTCTGCTCCTTCCTGATAGCATTAAAGCGGTGAAGACTTTCCAAACATTTTCTCTGAACCGTTCCTCTGTGCTCTAAATCTAATATAAGGTTTCCTACTAAAAAAAGAGATGGCAAATTTAAAATTCTTATTGCATGAAAGTTCACCATTGGGGTTTGAGTGACTTTTCCATTTCGACGGAAAAAGTAGAGAAAACAAATCAGCTGAAGGCTTGCCTTCTCTGTCTGGCCACTCTTTGTCCTAATAATAACAGCTGCCTGCCAAAGAATTAATTGCCCTTGACATTTGTTCATCACAAAGCTCCTTATGTAGCCGTTACAGGACTACGCCATGTAAGCAGGGAAGTGACCAGATGCAGACAGATGACTTCCTCTTCCTGATTAGCACAACTCCAAATTTACGTCTCTTACTTGGCTCCTGAGAGGACTTTAGTTGAATTATTTAGCCTCTTCGAGCAACAGCAGACTGCACTGGAGTTTGGGTTTTTTTTCACTTCTTGTAAAATAGATTAGATGTTGAAGTCAAACTGCTCTCAGGACACTTCATTATTGTTACAGCAAGGCAAATGAAGAATCAGGTCCAGGATCTTTGTTTTTAATCCCAAAAGTGAACATTCAAGTGAGCTACTACAGCACCCCACAAAACAGCAAAGACCCTCGCTCGAATGATCAGCCTTTGCCACGCTGGTGGTCCTCACCTGCCCTCGCACCTTCTCCACAAAACAAGTAGCAGCAGACAGGATCCATGGGGACATGGGAGGTACGTTGCATCCTGCTGCTGGTGTAACTAAGGATTACCTGTTGGCTGCTGAGAATAAATTCTTCTGCCACATTCGAGGTGTTCAAATGTTATTAGTCATTAAGTTATGACAAATTAAAACTGGGAGGGCACGATCCTGTTTAGCAGAGAGACGAGAGCTAAAATGCCTATGCCTATTCATAGCCGTACCACTAATTCAGCAGCTGACCTTGGACGAGTCACTTCACCACTCAGACCTTCGATTCCTCATCTACAAGCAAGGGATGATAATGTCGTTTCCTGGGGGAGAGGAGGAGAAGGAGGAAGGCTGTAGAAGTCTTAATTCGGTGTTTGGAAAGTATTCTGAGATTTCTAGATAAGACCACAACTGAAGGGAAAAATATCACGATGACAGTGGAAGATATTTTCAATCTATACAAGATTCATGGAGCTTTCGTACTTTTTTCTCGTTCCATATTCTCTGTTCTCATACACTGCCAGGAGAGCTAAGTGGAATACACGGACAAACAACATCTCTAGCCAGGCAGGTTTAGTCTGATGCAGGTGGCTAACTCACGGTCATAAACAACTCCACAAAGTAAACACATTTTAGAAAAGTTGATGAAACTCAGAAGGGGAGAACCACAAAAGAAAGACATCAAGTTCTTAAAAGGTGGTAAGGCTGGTGTTCCTGGAGCATTAGCACTGCTGACGGGAAAATGATGCTACAGGCACATTACTGCCCCTGACCAAAATACACAATCGAGTGCCACCAGTGCTGAAAATACTTAACGCTGTCATGGTCTGGTGTAACTGATGAGGCATCACTAACCCAAACAAAGCAGGAAAAATGGACCGAAACGTACGGGTGCCTTTCAAAGGCCAAAATGGTCAGTAAATCACAAAACGTACAGTGTTCCTATTACCTCAAGAATCCCCTGACACTACAGAACAGCAATTGTTTTAGAATGAAACATGATTTAACTAGAAATGCTATTCAATCTGCTGAAACACAAAACAAATCCACAGGCAAATAGTATAAAGCATCGTGTATAGTTTCACACAGCAATCCAAGGCCAAGAACATGACCTGAAAAGAACCAAATACAGCACACTCCCATAAGGCCTATAATTTACTGTGTTAGTAAAAGACTTTGTAGGGATGACAAGCTAACTGCACCCTTTCCAAAAGACATTACACTGGGGATGCAGTTTGGTAAACACTCCTGCGTTAATGTGGCCTGTTGCAAGTTCTTGTTAGAAAGCAAGTTTTGCAAGATTCAATTTAAGAAAAACCTCATTTGTCCCCAGCCTGTATTTACAAAACACTCCACTCTCCTGAGACTTCTTCCAGATGGAGCTTCTGATACAGCCTGGAAGCTCTTTGAAGAAGCCTTTAAAGTCTTTATTATTGAAAGTTCCCATGCTGTGAACTGCAGCAGTAATGAGCAGAGAAATTCTTTGGGAAGATCCTCTGGCTCTTTACCCAGCCCTCCCTTCAGCCGCCTCCTGTGTCAGTGGCCATCCAGAAAGACATGGTACCAGCTCAGGGGCTTCTGTCTGGCTCCTAACTCCTGCCAGTCAGGCAGGACTCAGAGAGGAACAGTCTGTTGAGCAGTTCTTAGACCTCAAAACGATTACGGATGTGTCTTCTAATTATGCCAAGCGAATGCTATTTCCAGCTCCTGTCTCTGCAGGTTCTCCTCTTCTTACTCACAACGCATCGCTCTCCTGCGAGCTCACCGCTCTGCTCCGACCTGGGCTGTTCTGCTGCTGTGCACAGCTGGTGGAAGTCTTGATGCTGATTTTAAGCCTGGTCACGGCAGATAAATGAAGTATGGTATTTTTCCAAACACACGGTGAAACGCTGCACTAGATTTTAGCTGCTGCAGTGAGTTACTAAAAAAAGCCAGCACACAAGCACAAAAAAAGAAACAAACAGAAAAAACAATGCACCTTTTAAAAGATTGCATAACCAAAGCTCCTTGAGAAGTCATTTGAGCTGGCAGTGTTGAGACAGTAAAGATGCTTGATAAATCTGTTTGAAGAAGCTGAAAATGTGCTACACAAGGAAGCTGCTATCTATAGGCTTCACAGAGACAGCTGCCTGGTCACATCCAAAATGATTCCGTCCTTGTGGTGACAGTTGGAAGCAACAGAAATATAATGCACAACCATTACAAAAATATACTCTTTCTGATGTGTTTACCACATATTCTATTACAGACACTGTGGTGATATCTCTTTGTGCTCACTGCCACTTTCTAGAGTATGATCAAGTTTACATAGATATTTTCCTGTGGTTAAGTCTATCTTAACTGGACATTAAAACAACCCACACAAACCAGAGGTGCCCTACACATCAGACATCTTCAACAGCTGGATTAAGATGCTTCACATACCAATCAGACTTTCAGTATTTATGGCTGTACTTATTTCGTAATAGCTGTATTTTACTTGTCAAAGCATTTATGGAGGCTATAGTCTCAGAAATGTCCTAAAGACTCCACAGAGAAATACAGCAAATGAGAATGAAATTACCTTTGTAGGAACAATAATTTCCCTTTGCAAGTTTTTATTAGGCTTGAAGATTTTGCTGATGGTGAATAATACAAGTTCTCAACTTAGTTGCAATCATTGAAAGTCTATCTCGTTAAACAGAATAAAACTTCTATGAAGCTCATATTTGACAGCTATGACTAAGATAGGTAAAAATACTTTAGAGACTCGATTTTAAAATAATCGCCTTAAAAAAGAAACACACCATAACCACAACAATTAAAAAATGCCTTTAGAAATAACCTGTTAACTCTCACTTGTTAACCACTACAAGTCAAAGACTTTGGTTTAGACTTGTTCATAAATTAAGATCTAACCTGAGATAAAAATATTCAAATTCTTACATCATTTTTAACGAGCTAGTAAGAGTCAACAAAATGCTCTCTCTAGTAAAGGATATGTGAAATAGGTATGCATGGAAACCTCTAGGAAATCGTGTTCGGTGATCAGATGGGAAATATTTGCAAAACCACAGAAGTCAATTAGAATGCGTTGGCACTGATCCCATAAAAGGCCTGCACTGAAAAACCAAAACAAAACAACACCATAAAAGGTGCTGCACTCATCCATCAGGGGGGTTTGATAGGAAGTAAAGAAAGTGCTGTGCTGCATGGCACATCAAACTAATTAAAAAAAAACCAAAACAAAACAACACAAAACAACAGGACAGAGAGAGCAAAATTAAAATACTGGCAAGATGCTGAAAAAAAAAAAAAAAGAAGAAAAAAAATGACTCATGAAAGCATGAATGCAAGAGCATGGTTTATATATTCTTCTGTCCAACTGCTTGGGAGACCTGGCTGCAAAGGGACACCCCACCTCGTTTCCCCAGTCGGGGCACTGCAGGCGAGCGCAGAGTCCCAGCCGCTGAGGTCCAGAGGCAGCTGGAACAAGATTTGTCACCGGATGCCAAATCTATGCTCAGGCCCCTTTCCAGCTACGTACACACACGCGCTCAACCTCTCTCCCACCAACGTGTTTCCCAACACATCTAACACAGGCTTTCTCGTGCACTGCTGCCAACATCTTTCTCGCTTGCAGCTAACTAAAGGCCACGTAAGAGACGCGACGCCAGCGGCAGCAGGGAGAGAAGCCCAGGTGCCCCGCAGATGTGCCCGCTCTGCCCCTGACTCCCCGCTCCAGCAGGGCTGGTTCCCTCTTTTACCTGTAAATCCATCTGCTTTACAGGACAAACCGCACACGCTGGGAGCTGGGCACGGGCTGTCCCTCCGGCTCTGCCAGACGGACCCATCAGGGCTCAGCCCTCCCTGCCCTTACCTTGGGGGGCCATTCTCAGCCACCCTGCCGCCAGTTTTCAGAAAATTGACGGGTATTCAGTTATCTTCCAGACTTTAACCCATCTTTTGAATTTGATTGAATCTGGCCTGCAAGGTTAAGCTTATCAGTGGGAGGAACCCTACGGGCAGGCAGACTGAGCAAGCACAAAAGCCTTGTTCCCTTACAAACCAGGCTTCTGAAATCAACTTCTTGGAATGATGCTACTAGAATTTCGTCCCACAATACAGGTCATTAAGGGAAACTCTTGACTTTTAACATACTGTCTTCAACACATGAATTAGACTGAGATCTCTAACCCGTTTTCTGCTGTGTAGCGAGTCACTCCGTCCTTTCTCTGGAGGGGTAAGTGCACATGACAGCACATAAAGCAAAAAAAATGTAAGCTAGACAAAATAAAAAGGTCACCTTTGTCTCTTTGATGAGGTACAATGTCATGAAGACTGGTGTATATTTGAAAAATAAGTGGTTGCTGACCACAAGCCACTCCATAAGCATTTGTGATTTAATGACTGTCACTAAAAAACAATTGACATGGAAGAGGTGAACTGTGAAGAATCCAAACTACATAAAACAGCTTCTGCAGAGCTACTCTGCTGAATAGATTGTCTGTATATTATCTTTGAAACCTAATTCTATGATTTCTCTAACTCATTCCCACAATATGGCAGTTCTGAGGTTACTTATATTTCAGTCTCTGTAGAGCTGATGCTACCTGCATTAAAGGCTGCTTTTAAAATGACAGAAGTCGTCTACTATAACATGAACAACCCTTAAAAACCCAAGATGAATCTTCCAGGAGCTGAAAGCCAAATTACTGCAAGAAATTGAATTCCCAGAAGTGACTGTATGATAGTTTTCCTCATTACATCAAAGAATTGAAGATAGAAAGTTTGCTGTTGAAAATCATATTCCAGGACTAGAGTCCTCACAGCCGTATTATATCCATCTGTTATTAAAAGAAAGGTAAACCTAGACTTTGAACAAATGCAAAAAGAAACCTTTTTATTAAAGAAATGGACCAGAATCCATGAACCTCAGTTACAATACTGAGACCTTTGGGATGTATCTATATAGCAGTCTCCCCCTACCTAAATCAGAATTGTTTCTGTCTGAGCAGCAAGATTCTGAGGGATTGGATAGTCATCTTTTATTAAACTTT